GGGCAGCCCCCCCAGCCCTGCCCTTGGGGGTCCTGGGTTACTCGTATGGGTGCCAAGCAGCCCCCTTGGGACCAGGACCTGGGGGTCTCAGGGTGCCCCTAGGGGTGCCAGGCACTGGGCAGCCCCCCCAGCCCTGCCCTTGGGGGTCCTGGGTTACTCGTATAGGTGCCGGGCAGCCCCCTTGGGACCAGGACCTGGGGGTCTCAGGGTGCCCCTAGGGGTGCCAGGCACTGGGCAGCCACCCCCAGCCTTGCACTTGGGGGTCCGGCATCTCCTGGCGCTGCTCATAGGGGTGCAGGGCACTGGGCAGCCCCCCCAGCCCTGCCCTTGGGGGTCCTGGGTTACTCGTATAGGTGCCGGGCAGCCCCCTTGGGACCGGGACCTGGGGGTCCCAGGGCGCTTATGGGGGTGTCAGGCACCGGGCAGCCCCCCAGGTCCCGGGGGTCCTGGGTTATTCCTGTGGGTGCCAAGCAACCTCCCCAGCCCTGCGCTTGGGGGTCCCAAGGGTGCTTGGGGGGACCCCGTCACTGGGCGGCCCCCCCCAGGACCCCCAAGCACAGGGCTGGGTTACTCGTGTGGGTGCTGAACAGCCCCCTTGGGACCTCTGCTTGGGGGTCCCAGGGTGCCCCTAGGGGTGCCAGGCACCGGGCAGCCCCCCCTGCCCCTGCACTTGGGGGTCCTGCATCCCCTGGGGCTGCTCCCATGGGTGCCCGCCACCCACAGCCCCCCCCCCCAAGCCTGCACTTGGGGGTCCCGGGTGGCTCCGGTGGGTGCCGGGCAGGATCCTCCGGGTCTGTCCATAGGGTCCCRGGTCGCTCCGGTGGGCACCGGCTCCCTGGCAGCCCCGGGGCTCCCACATCCCCCCGCTCCACGTGGCGGCCCCGGAGACGTTGGGATCCCCGCCGCTTTCCCGCTTATCCCGCTTTTTGTTTTTGAAGGAGAGGGGGCGGAGAGCGCTTCGGAGGAGCCCCCGGACGGCACGGTGAGGGCTAGGGGCCGCGCTCCGAGCGCTCCCAGTTTCCCATCCCCGCTCCGCAGCCGCTTAGACACCACTTAGTTAATTGAAAGCACCGGCTCCTTGCCCTTTCTCGGGATACTGTGGCTTAAATCCCCGCTTTTTTTCCAGGAATTCCGTGTCCTCCGGCKTGCGCGTGGTGGAAAAAGGACGCCCCCGCTTTTGGCCGTGGGGTTTAGTGCTTTGCCAGGTGCTGAGCGGGTTTTGAGGGAGAAAAGCTGCGGTTTTGGGGCATTCTGGAAGTGAGGTTTGGATCCGGGTGAAGGATTTTGGTCGGAGCCGCCTCCTCGGGATGGAGGGAATCGTTCCAGCGACTCCCTTTTCCCTGGGGATTTAGGAGCTGSTGGCAGGGAGGTGATTTTTCCCTCTTGGCGTTTGGGAGAGGAGGGGAAAAAGAGGAGATTTATGGTGCTAAAACGGAGGAAAAGGCCCCAAAATTGCACGTGGGAAACGGCAAGGAGCAGCAGCGCCACCGGGATCCGACATGGAGATCCGGCGTTCCCGGTCAGAGCCAAGCGGAGGAGCAAGAATTGTTGGATTTACTGGATTTTCCAAGTACCGTTTGTTAGCTGAGGCCTAAACTTCCACCAAACCTCGGAGAACCCATGGGAAACGAGCCGGGAAGGAAGGGTCGGCTCCGGAAAACCGTCGGAATGTGTCGCGTGCCACCGATTCCGAAGCAATTCCAGTGGTTTTGGCCAAACTGAGGTTTGCTCCCACTCGACCGGAGTTGGTTTTTGGGGAAAAACTCTGTTCTTTTGGATGAAGTCTCCAGAGCTTCGTGCTGTTGGATGTGGATGAGAAGCCGGATGTGCTTTGGGAAGCGGGATTCGTCTTCCAAGAAACCTTCTCCCCTTTTGCCAATGGGACCGGCAGCCGGATCCTTTGGGAAGTGCCCGTGCATCCCGGATACAACAGAGGCTTTGGATGGGGCCGTTGCCCACTCGGCTCCGACCTTTCCCATGGAAGGAAATCACATGGATCCCTCTCAGCCGGAGATCTCCACTTGGGAAGGAGCAACCGGAGCGGGAAAAGCTTTAGCAGGAACCTCAGCGCTCCCCAAGGCTGCAGCAAGGAGCCTTCCCAAACCCCAACACCCCCTTTTCCCCCATCTTTTTCCCCAAAAAAAAAGGAAACAAAAGCAGGATCCCGCTGGACACTGGCCTCCCACATTGCCCCCTTTTGGGCGGATTTTCCCGGCCCAAACGGGACAGCCCAGATCCCACAGGGAGCAGCCAATTCCCACCACACCACATCCCTCCTAAACACCCGGATAACCCCCATTCCAGCCTCACATCCCCTTTTTCCCCCCCAATCCAGCAATACCTCCCCGCCTCGGCATTTTCCCGCCCCATTCCATCATTTTCCCCCCCGAATCCGGCCCTTTCGGAGCAGGGGAGGGAAGCGCCGCGGGGAAGAGCCGGAGCCTTATTGATTTGCCCTCTTTTAAATTCCAGCAGCTCCGCACGAGCCAGAGTGAGTTAGTAAGGAAAGCCAAATATGTAAGTAACCCCCCTCTTCCTAGCCAAATAGCTTAGGCTCCCGTTTTATTTTGGACTTAACTCCCGGAGTTAAGGACGACTCGGACTGGCTCTGCTTTCGGGCTCCCCGCCTTATTTTTCCCCTCCTTTTCCCTGTTTTTCCCCCCCTGCTTTTCCTTTTCCGGCTCCGCTTTCTCCACCCTGGCAGTAGGTGCAGCGGTTTCTTGGCTGGTTGCTGATCTGGGCATCTCTTGGGTGTATTATTATTATTATTACTATTATTATTATTATTACTATTATTATTATTATTACTATTATTATTATGATTTCTTCTCCTCGTTTTTGTTATTTTATTTGATTTTTTTTCCCTCTCTGATAACGCAAATCCGGGGGCTTTCGGAAGCGGCCGAGCGGACGCCCCATCCCGCTTCCCACCGGCGCGGCGCCAAAAGAGGCCGGTTTGGGGTAACTCGTCGCGCGTCCCCGGAGGTAAAACATGCTAAAATATCCCGTTTTTTTTTCCCGTTTCCAGACGCTGCGGCGCTGCTACAGCCGCGTGAAGGAGCACGGCGTGGGCAAGCGGAAAAGCAGCTACACCTTCGAGCAGCTGGAGCAAGTGTTCGGCCAGGGCGGCTGGGATGCGCAGCCCTGCCAGCCCGTCCTCATCAACAGCTCCGGCCTCTACCAGGAGCTCGAATCCGACGGCAGCACCATGGAGGAGTATTCCCAGGAGGACTGGGGCAACCACAGCCAGGAGCTGCACTGCTACCCGACGGGCGAGCAGGAGCTGGGTAGGGAAGCGGATTCCCCGGGTTTGCCGTGGTTGTGGCGGCTCCGGGTGATGCTTCCCGGTTTGGCTGCCTCCCGTGGGGTGGGAGGATGGATGGTGGGTGGGAATGGGGAGAAAGGAGGAGGACTTGCCGGTTTGGGATGGGTCCGGAGTGCTTGGATTGGGAGAAGTGGAGAGAAATGGGGAGAGTTCCCAGTTTGGGTTGGAT